CCTCTCTGGATTTGATCCAGGAGAAGGAGAGAGCTCGTCTCGTCTCTGTGAGCGATCGGCGCCCAGCTCCAGAGAATAATTGCAGGCATGGTTGTTTAGCAATCAGGTTATTGTGGGAAAGAAAACATATTTGGGTTACACTTTATTTTGACTTATCTAACGATAAGTAACTTTGCAACTACATGTCTACTAATTCTCATTCATTTGCAAATGGTAGGACATTTACAAAATATCTTAATGGAACATGATCTTTTCTTAATATCCTAATGATTTTTGATCAATACAATGTATTGTTGGCTATTGCTACAAATATACCTGTGCTACTTATGACTGGTTTTGTGCTTCAGGGTCACAAATTTGTAGGAACATGAAAGACTGAAAAAGGAATAAATTTCACTGCACTTTGGTTCAATCCCAGAAATTCAGTATTCATCTTTCTTCTGCGTGATTTAGGGGACATTTCAGGCCACTGCTGGACGGGATCTGAAACTCACAGATTTGTGTATAATCGTTCTGCGGTCTCTTCCCAGCAGCGCTGCACTGACGTTTACTGTTTGCACCATCTGTCCACTTATTAAACTCACTCCTACATCAGCTAGACTTTCAACAGCCACCTTTCTGTAGGAATACAGGGATGTACAGATCCACACATAAATGAACAAACTGATTCTGTTATGTTTTCTTCATGTGGCAACATGAAACAAATAGAGAAATTTACTATGAACACATAAGCCACGCTTAAAAATGTATAAATGTCTTTGCATTACATAAATAAGCAAACCATTTATTTGTATTACATTTAGCACAAACACACTTCTCAAGCCAAAATGTTTTGTTTTATTTATTTATTTATAATTTAATAAATGACTTTAAATAATAAGACCATCAGAAATATTGTTCAAAATAAAGAAAAACACATTTAGATAGGACACATTTATATTAGTGGGCCATGTTAATGTGAGGAACTGCATCTGTAATTACTTTAACAGGACTAACTATAGTGTGTGAATATGTCAAATGCATAAATATATCAATTTAATTCCATTTATTGTATTTGTATTTATATTAACATTATTTTATTGCAAAATTACTGTATATAGCAGGAGTTCTTTATAGAACAATGAGTAAAGGTCCCATTTGTTAACAGTAGTGAATGCGTTAGTTAACATGAACAAACAATGAGCAATATATTACAACATTTATTAATCTGTGTTAATGTTAGTTATAAAATACACTTATTGTTTGTTCATGTTAATTCACAATGCATTAACTAATGTTAGCTGATATACGACTTTTTAAAATATCCGTAAAATGATCGAAGATTAACTAATGCTAAAGTGTCCGTTCGTGTTTACTAGTTAACTAATGCTAAAAATGAAAACTTCTTGTGAAGTTTTACCAAAATTTTGCCACTGCACCGTGAAAAGGTTTTAATTTGGCAGACTTACATTTAGCAAATACATTATTATCTACATAATAAATATTCATATGTAAACATTTCGCTAAACGCCAACCAACAGAACCATAGTGAATAGTGAAAAATACAGCAAATAATTTGAAACAATACTTTTTATGCACAAAATGATTTTTATCACCTTTGATTTGTTCATTGAGACTGTTTAATGTTAACTGCTTTTCTGTCACTCTGATCCCTGATCTCACAAAAGAGCCTGTTTTACATTTGCTCATTTGAAATCTCTACTTAAAACAAGTCACAACATAAAGCATGTTGAGAAGTTCCTAGCAGAGAGTGCTGAATGAAGACATTAAATCACAGCATAAAGCACTTAGGTAATGAAGCAGCGGTGCAGAGAGAGCAGCAGAGACTGCACACGCTCCTGCTCCTCTTCAGACCTCATGCAGCTCTAGCAGAAATGATGCTGGCTGGTTGATGAAGGGCGTTTTGCTGGGTGAGTTAGATAAGAAAGCCGCTGAAGTCTATGCGGTGGCACAGTGAGTGCTGCACATGCTTTTTGGACATTAAGCCTGAACCTGACACAAAAAAAGAGTGTGTAACCCAACTTTACCACTACTCAAATTAATCCCAAACCTGATTAGAAAGCAAAATTGCTCATTCTTTTCCTTCCAGGCATTAAATTGAAGCACATGATCCAAATGGTACTGTCAAAATAAATGACCAAACCCAGCCTAAAATGTCAACACGGTCTCATGGAAATTCATAACTGTTTTACATTTTGGTGAATCTATTTGAATTCATTCGATCTTGTTCACAGTGTTGGGGAAAAGTTACTTTTAAAAGTAATGTATATGCTACGCAGTGGGTAGGATTAAGGCCCGTTCACACCAAGGACGATAACTATAAAGATAACGATAAAGATTATTCTCTCAATATTAAAGTCCACGCCACAACTATAACGATAAAGACAAAGAGAAACTATATAGCTGGAATCACTTTCAAAACGATTTTTCTCCAGCTGATGAACGATAAAAAATTGACAGCCAATCAGAATCCATCCTGCTGTAACGAGCTGGAGAATTTAAAGCGGCAGACGAGTGTGCGCTTAGAATAAACAGACGATATCGTTTGCTGGTGTGGACGCTAATATCGTTATCTTTATAGTTATCGTTCTTGGTGTGAACGGGCCTTTAGGGTTGCACGCCAAACACGTGCGTATCATATGCACGCCAAAGTCCATTTTTGCGTATCAATACCACGAGTTTTTGTTTTTATTTGGCCTACTATTTATACGCATTTTCATGAGACCGGGCTCAAAATTGTGCTATAAGTTTGATCGCAACATATAATCATTGCTGTTAATAGTGTTCACCGTCTGTTTGATTACATTTACATTACATTTACATTTAGTCATTTAGCAGATGCTTTTATCCAAAGCGACTTACAAATGAGGACAATGGAAGCAATCAAAATCAACAAAAGAGCAATGATATACAAGTGCTATAACAAGTCTCAGTTAGCTTAACACGTTACACGTAGCTAGGTTTTTTTTTAAATTATATAATAAATAATAATAATAATAGGGCTGCCCCCTAATAGTCGACTAATCGTTAGTAGACCAGGTCAATCAAAATTTTTTTAGTCGCTTAGTCGCAGAAAAAAAATCCACATTGGCAAAGTAACGTAGATCGTTAACAGCTGATCTGTGGTAATACAGTACATACGCCAGGACATCCAAACGTTCGCCTATCAATCATCCACCACAAATATGGCTTATCATCTGAAATCTGTAATTATTAGCAACTTTACTTGGCAGCTCAATCTAATGTTAACCTAGAGAAATGTCCGCTATTCAAGTGTCTGTGTGGAAGCTGAACATTAGCGCTCACTGCAGGACAGATGGAGGGGCCGGTGCACTCACTTGCTCTTAAAATAGGCTACTCTGTCATTTTTGGTCATACAGATAAGAGTAATACATAAGACTCTACATTTATTTGTGTGCACTCACAATAACAACAAAACGCGCTTTTGTAAAATAATGAAAGCAAACA